GTGAGAGGCTGTTTAGGGCAGTTCCAGGGACATGAAAAGAAGAAAAAGGAGATGCAGCTGGGAAAGCAGAGACCGGGCAGCAGGAGAGGACAGGGGATGAGCCCAAGAGCAGGGCAGAGCCTTGTCCCTGCACCACACGGCCAAGATGGGGTCACTGGGGCTTGTTGACTGGCCACACTGCGGACTTACACTGTCCCATCTGTGCCTTAGGCACCCGCTCCTGGATCATGCAGCAGGCATCGTACACCATGGTGGAGGGCTCGAACTGCATCGTCTTCACCACACTGCCAATGCTGATCTTCAGCGAGAGGGCAACCATGGTGGTGGCAAGACTGTTCCCACACCTGCGTCACCTTCCAGAGGACACAACTGGGTCAGCTCTCCTTGCCAGGCCCCCACGCATACCCCAGGGACCTGATGGTGGCCGAGATCTTCTCAGCTGGAGATGTGTGTGCCCACTCCACCATACATACGTGGACGTGGCAGTGGGGGAGCAGTGGATTCTGTTCATGTGCAGCAGCGGCCGCAGCCCTCAACCAACAGTGAGGAGGAAATGTGCCAGCAGCATGGCGAGATAAGGTGGGACAGCATGACAGAAGGGGTTTTAATTATAATTACCATGACACAGAAGCTGCAAGAGGAAAAGCCCACTTTGACCCAAGACCAGTAGTGTCTGGCTCCGCTATCAGTGAGCAGTGGTCCCACGTGGGCAACCCAAGGTGCCAAGCCTGGAAACCCTGTGTGCGCTTCCTGGGGGTGCAGAGCTCTTGGGGAGAAGACAGGGACACCTGCGCTAGGGGGCACAGGCAACGCTGGGTCAAGATCCAGCTCTCAGTGCTCCCCTGCTTGACGCAAGCCTCTGCCCCACTGCCAAGGGGCAACTTGCCCATCCCTGCCCTGCTCAGCAGTGCCCCTGACCCCATGCTCCTTCCCCTGCCCTCTGGAGCCTTCTGGCTTCCATCCAGGCTGACCTGCTCCAGGCTCCCTCAAGCCGCAGCTGGCTGAAGGAGGCACAAATCCTGGTGGATGCACACCATGTTTGCCCGAGGCTGAGCGGGAGGAGTACGGTGTCGCCTCCACTAGCACATGGAGCCACTCCAGCTGTGCGTTCCTGAGCCATTTGGCAATGCTGCTTGCAGGAGCCCTCACAGAGGCCCTCGGCCCCCACCAACTAGGAATGTAACACAAACAGGGCCCCTGTGCATGCACCCTGACCTGCAGCCCCTGAACAGGATGAGTCCCCAACACTGGGCAGGTTGTGGTGCAGTGTGGACGAGGAGTAGCCAGTGCTGGAAGGGGCTTTTTGAGCATTTCACAGGCAGGGTGGGCCGCTACAGTCAGTGGGATGGTGTTTGTCATCTTCCCTATATCTAAAAATATTCTAGAGCTGAGCACAGGGCTGCTTTCCATCTCTGCCCCTGGGGAAAGGACGTGCTGTCTCCAGGACAGGGACTAGGACCAATGGGAGCATAGCACAATAAAATTAACTCTATCCCAGCCCAAACCAGGATGTTACAAAGGAAAGATGGTGATAGAGCAAAAAATGATGGTGCGAGCAGGCAGGAACCCTTCCAGCCATGCTGTGAGGCCACCAGCATGATGACTATCCCAGCAGCCCTACTCTTGAGCTTTTTGACAAAAACAGTGAGTTCACAGGAATATAACACTCTGCAGGGCAAGCTGGAACATGCGCTGAATAGGAAATACACCATTTTACAGCAGGATAGGGGCAGCTTCATGCCATGTGCACTCTTCCAGCTCAGTACAGACCCACAGGTCCTCCACAACCATCAGCAGGTGCATGTGGCCAATGCCAACGGCCTCACACCTTGCTGAAAGCAGAGTGCTGCCTCGCAACAAGTGAGGCACTGAGAGCTTGGGGGGAAAAGGACACTTGTACTTGGCGTTACAGCTTCACGCCAGACGTAACGCTGCAGACACTTTGTCGTGGTTTAACCCGGCCGGCAGCTAAACACCACGCAGCTGTTTGCTCACCCTCCCCCTCCCTCTCTGGGACGGGGAAGAGAAATGGAAAGTGAAGCCCGTGAGTTGAGATAAAGACAGTTTAATAAGACAGGAAAATAATAATAACAATAACAACAATAATAACAATAATAATAATAATAATAATACAATGATGACAATAGTACTACCACTAATAATATGTACAAACAAGTGATGCACAATGCAATTGCTCACCACTCGCTGACCGATGCCCAGCCTAACCCCGAGCAGTCCGGCCCCCTCCCCCCGGCTAGCCACCCCTATATATTGTTTAGCATGACGTCAGATGGTATGGAATACCCCTTTGGCTAGTTTGGGTCACCTGTCCTGGGTCTGTCCCCTCCCAGCTCTTACTGCACCCCCAGCCTGCCCGTTGGCAGGACAGAGCAAGAAGCTGAGATGTCCTTGGCTTAGTATAAGCACTGCTCTGCATCAATTAAAACATCGGGGTGTTATCAGCACTCTTCTCATCCTAAGCCAAAACACAGCATTTCACCAGCTACTAGGAAGAAAATTAATTCTGTTATAACTGAAACCAGGACACACTTATGTACAAGGTGCTTAAAACATCAAGCAAGTAGCCAGAGGCAAGCGAGATGGTTCAGTGCTATTTCCATGTTTTGAGAAAACGCTTTATGCTCCAGGCAGCCGAGCTTTGCTCCCATCAGTCTCTAAAGCAGAAGTGGTCTCTGCTATTTAAAGCAGCACATCTCAAACCTCAGAGCAATCTGGCAGTGGCTCATCACATGAGGTTTGCAAATCTGTCTGGGTGCCTCCTCCAGACACAGTGCTGTGTTGGGTCTGTCTGAGCTGAAGTCACCTTTTCCCTGCAGCAGCCCACACAGTGCTGTACTCTGCACTCGTAGCTGGAACAGCACTGATATCACTCCAGTGTTGTGTCTATTGCTGCGTAGTGCTGGCACAGCATCAGGACTCCTTCTAAGCCCCCAAGAGCCAGCAGGCTGGGGGTGGGCAAGTGATGGGGAGGGGACATCGCCAGGGCAGCTGACCTAAACCAACCAAAGGGATATTCCATAACACCTGATGTCACACTCAGTAATAAAAGGGGGGGCTCTCGTGGGGGAGGGGGCTGTTCCTCCTGAACAACTACTACACGTTTGAGGCCCTGCTTCCCAGGACATGGCCGAACACCGCTCGCTGATGGGAAGTAGAGAATAATTTTTTCTCTCTCTGTGCTTCCGCGCGGACTGATTGTTTCTTTTGTATCTGTTTTTCCTTCCCATTCCCTTTCCCTTTAATTAAACCTTTCTCATCTCAAACCTCGAGTTCTCTGTGTTGTATTTTCTCCCCCTTCCTCTTTGAGGAGAGGGGGAGTGAGAGAGCGGTTGTGGTGGAGCTCAGCTGCCCACCTGAGTAAAACCACCACAGTCCTTGGCCACAGCTGCAGCCATGTGGTGGTGAAGCCCCAGGTGGCTTCTGCCTCGGGGTGCTATGTCAAGGACAGGAGTAGGCATGTCTGCATTTCAATTGAAAAAGCAACAGAAGTCATTCCAGAGCATGGTTCTGCTGCCATGCTGAAGCTGCAGGAACATCTTGGAGGCTCCAGGCTGGTGACACTAGTGCTGTCCCCCCAGAGCAAGCTGGCACTGGGGGCACCTTGAGCACTGCCCACCCACTGGGCAGAGGGGCTGCAGCACTGGTGTTACGCTGGGCACAAAGCAGCCACAGCGACAAAGTGTAAAGTGATGGAAGAGGACAGCCAGCCTCATGCCATCCCTCAGGAAGGGGGAAAAAAAAAAAAAAAAAAGAATAAAAAGGAGAAAAAAGACTTGACAAACGCACACCACATTTCTGCACTGACTACACTGCAGGGAAAGCAAACAAGTCAGCAATCGCTTACTGGTATGTGAAGGCAGATATGCCAGCGCAGCAGCAGTGTGGCCAGCTGAAGGCACTTCTGCATTTCGCTGTAAGCTCTTCCTCCATGATGCAGCCCCACCAGCAGCAGATGCCTTTTGTCCCTCCACCTCTCACACCCCAGCAGGGGCCACTGGCCCCAGGAGCGAGTTTTCCATCCTGTACATAATTGCTGCAATTCTGTCTACTGACCTGAGAGTACTGCTGCAACAACAGGTACAGGGCAAGTTTTACATTAACAACAATAATAATAAAAAAATATAAAGCCCTATAGGGTTTTTGTTACGCCAGAGGCTGTGCTTGAAGACAGCCTCCACAGCACACTGATGGCAAGTTTCCAGAAGCTGCAGACCTTTATCAAACAAACAGATTTCTCTCTTTTCACTATACTGGTGCTGAAGGAAGCTCTGGGTGTTACTGCCACACTGAACTGTCCCTGGGAAAGGCCCTGCACCAGGTGGGGCCCAGCCCTGGCTGCAGGAAACTCTCCCAGCCCTTCTGCCTGGGGTCCACAGCCAGCCTCAGCCTTGCCACTCTGCCAAAGCCTCCTGTGAAGGTTTAGGTGGTGATGCAGGAACAGAAGCAGCCTGCAGCAGCTGGGAAGGTCTAGAATTTATTTTTTTTGTGTGGTTGTTTTTCTTCCTTTTAATCTCAGAGAAGGCAAAACAATTGCTAGGCCACATGTACGGCTAGGTCTTGAGGCACCACTGCAATGCCTGCAAGCTGCAACTCTGCCTTGATGCAAGGATTTGTGTGGTGATGCAAAGTTAATTTTTAGCCCAGAAAAAACAGAAAATCAACTTGCCTAGCCCAGCACCTATGCCCATAGCAGAAGCGTGGCTTCATGGGGCTGGAAGTGCCAGAACGTGGAGGCATTCCTGCTGGGACAGTAGCACGGAGCTGCTGGTGGTGGCAGAGGTAGACGACAGCCCCACAGCTGATGCACTCTGTTTCTTGCCTTCCTCCTCCTCTTCCTCCTCTCCATCTGGAGCCATGGTGGGTACTGCAGGTGCTTGTTCCCACCCTGCCACCAGCCCCCAGCGGGGTCATCAAGCGGCAGCACTGCTACCAAATATGGGGCTGACGCCATTGGCTGGTTGAAAGGACTGGGAGGGGAAATGCAGCCACGGCCGCGGCCCCCGCCTCACCCCACATCCTATGCGGGATCAAGGACGCTCTGTTAGGTGCTGCTGGTTCGGGGCCCGGGAAAGCAGGACGCAGCCGCGAACATCCCCCGTGAGCCCAGGGCAAGAAGAGGAGCGGCCGCGCGTTTCCTCGCCCCACTCCCCCCCAGCCCCAAGAGTCCCCGGTACAGCGGCTCCCGCCCCAGGGGTCCACCCGCCGACAGAGTCGCCGCGTTGCGGCGTGGCCCGGCCCCAAGCCCCAAACCCGATAAGCGGGGGGAGGCGGGGGCGGGGGAAGTGAGGGGTGTCCCAGAGCACCGGGACCCTCCCGGTAAGGAGTCCCCGCGCTAGGCGAGGCCGCGTCGCCCGCGCCCCTGGCCCCGTACCTGTGCACGAGCAAGAACAGCGCGCCAGGCCCGCCGAGGCTGTGCAGCAGCGGGACGGCACCGCCCGCTTCCCGCCCCGCCGGCCCACGCCGCGCATGCGCTAGGCCCCGTGCGCCACTGGACAGAGCGGTGCGGTGGCCTCGGTCCCTGCACATCGGCACCCATGACCCCCAGCGGGCATCCCCAACAGACCAGTACCGCACCCACCCCCACTCCTCCGCCACCCGCGGGCAGCTCCCAGCTCCCGCCTCGCCGCGCGCGCTCCCGTGCCATCGGTCAATGGCGGGGCTCGCGCCACTGCATCACCCGGGGGCGGAGCGAGGTGAGGCGGGACTGTGTGGTGCTGCGCGAGGGCTTCTGGGAGGGCGGTGGCGTCACTGGCGGGTGGTGGATGCAACGTCCAGGTGAGGCTATGACTGGGTCCATGATGGGGGCTGGGTTGGGGTTGTTCTCGTTCACTTGGTGGCTCCGCGGTTGGGGGCGGGAGCGCGCGCCCGTGCCTTCCTGGGGCTCTTCTGTCAGCCTTATCTCTTGCTGTCTGCTCTGTGCGTGCTGCTGGGGCATAGAGGCCTGGCTGGTCCCGCTCTCTTTCACTGCTCTGCCAACGCCCGAAGCCCTGCTGCCCCATCCTGCTTCACTTTTCCTTTTTCCTCCTCCCTCCGGGGCACCTGTCTGAAGCCTAAAAGCTTCTTGGTGTCCCGGGTGCCTTTATGTTAAGCGGCACCACCACCAAAGGCCTGGGGCTCACTATGGGTGTCTCGTTCAGATGGCATGCCCAGAGGACCTGGCTGCCCTGGCAGACAAGGACCTGCTTGGCTTTCTCTTCAGCGATGACACTCATGACACTGTAGACCCAGGGGAGGAGAACCTCTTGCTGGAGGGCTGGGGCCTGCCAGGGCCCAAGGTGAGTTCTGCAGGAATCCGGAGGCTGCTGGGTTTGGCTCCCTGCTTAGCAGAAGGCTTTTCTCCACAGCTCCTAAACAAGGAGATGGATGATTTCATCAGCCACGTGCTGAGCCCCTGTGAAAATGAACCAGGCCCACTGCAGGGCTGTTCATCTGCTGACAGTGACAGCGGCATTTCTGAGGATCAGAATCTGTTCCATAGCCCTGGCAGTGACTTTGCCAGCAGCCCTCAGAGCTTGGATATTGTGCAGTTTGATCACAGTTATTCCCTCCATCAAGACTGGCCTGCACTGGAAAGCATGAGGGCTGATATGGCAGAAGGAGATGTTTCCATTGACTTTGGTAAGTGATGTGTGTGTGTGTGTGTGTGGGGGGGGGGGGGGGTCTTTTTGTCCTAGCTACAGGCGGTGCCATGCCTAGCAGAAAAGCACCCTGACACAGGTTTTGTGTGGGGGCACAAAGTAGCAATGGAGAGACAAGTTTCATGGTTTTCTGCTGCCATAAAATTGCAATTCCATGCTACTCAAATCTGGCTGGTGAGGTGTTTGTGCTGCTTCACTGAGGCCCGTAGCTTGACTCTCCTTCCCCAGAGACATGGATGGGTTTGGAAAGCACAACTGAGGCACTGGAACAGAGCTCCAGTTTCCCAATTGCCATTGATGTGGACGCCAGACCCCAGCTCATGCCTAGAGCCACCATGCAGATACCAACAGCTGTGCCTAAGGAAGCGTGTGGTGGTGGGCCCAGCCTTTGCTTCTCATCCCATCTCCCCTTTTTTCTAGTCTTGGCTACTCTGAGGGATATCTTTGGGGAAAGCGTGATAGTGCTTTAGGAGAGCTTATCCTCGTTCTGCATGCCTTCTCTGTCCTGGGGTGGATCCCCCCTCCCTTTACTTTGGATTCTCAGTAGGTATATTTCTGCTGTTTTCCAGCCTGACTTCCCAGAACTGATGCTGACTGATGAAGAGAGGCAACTCCTGGAGAAAGAAGGTGTTTCATTGCCAACCTGTCTGCCACCGACCAAAGTGAGTTCTCACTGCAGCTCGTCACTCCCAAGCAGACTTGGATTCCTCAAACACTTCTACACTGAACATGTAGGACAGTGCCTCGACAGGGCAGTGTACGGCAGGACTCAGGGTCCTGCTCCTTCCTTCAGTGCCCTGGCTGCTCTCAGTGTCCCCCCCCCCCTTGTGACTGATTGCAGGAGGCAGTTACACTACAAGTGTTTTCAGCCTTCTTCCCACCTGCCTGGTGGCTCATGACCTGCATGCTTTTCATCTTCCTTCAGTGTGCTTTGCTTTTCTGGTATACTGGGAAACTGCCAGTATTATCAGCAGGTCAGAGTTTGCCTTGCAGCTTGTGCAGTTCATTCACTGGTGTGGGAAGAGCAGAGGACAAAAATACATAGGTTTCTGCCTTTCTAAGCAAGGTTGAGTGCTATGCAGGATTTGTAAGGGCTAGGCTGCCATCACCTTGGAGTGACTGCTAATGAGAAATGGCTCTTGCAGGCTGAGGAGCAGCTTCTGAAGAAAGTGTGTCAAAAGATCTGGAACAAGCAGTCAGCCCAGGACAGTCATCACAGGAAGAAGATCTATGTGGATGGCCTGGAAAACAGGTATGGGTACACAGCAGCTGTGCTGCTGCTGGGGTCTTGCCACCATGGGCAGAAAGAGAGCAAACCTGATGATCCTTGTGGGTCCCTTCCAACTCAGGATATTCTATGATTCTCTGTTTTTCCCCTATGCTGTTTGTCTGTCCTGGGCAGGGTGGCAGCCTGCACAGCTCAGAACCACGAGCTGCAGAAGAAGGTGCAGCTCCTGCAGAAGCAGAACATGTGAGTTTTCTTTGGATGTGGCAGGAGATGTGGTGGGTAAGGTTGTTCCTCTGCTTGGGATTGTGGTCTGTCACTGGCTGCAAAAGGGAAGGAGGGGTGCGCAGCTTGTGGATCAACTGCTGTGCTAACCTGCTGTGCCTGCTCTCCTTCAGGTCTCTGCTTGAGCAGCTGCACAAACTGCAGGCCTTGGTGAAACAGTCCACCACCAAAATGACCACATTGAGCACCTGCGTCATGGTGAGTGGCTTCAGCTCCAGTGTTTGGGAAGGGGCCTTGGCTGTCCCCATAAGTTTGGGAGACAGGTGTTTATTGCAGCCAGTAATGCCTTTTCATATCCTTTTGCTGTGAGCTCTGCTGATCTTGTTTCCAGGTCCTGGTTCTGTCCTGCCTCATTGTCTCGCCCAGTTTCTACTCGTTTGGGAGCAGAGGGCTGCATCCAGAGCTTGGAGGTGAGTGCCCAGGGGGCTGAGCATGGTTCCAGGGAAAGTGCTGCCCTCCAGGGTAGAGCACTTCCCACAGAGCCCAAATTCTCAGACACTTCCAACCCAAGAGCCCCTCACCTATGATGAGCATATGGTTTGTCTTCCCTTTCTCAGTCCAGTTCCAGACCCTTCCCCAGCCCTGTTGCAGAGACCTTCCCAAGGTTAGGGGTGATATCAGAACTGCCCAGATCTGCTGTCACTTGGAGTGCAGGCTGTGCTTGTGCTTGGCTGCTGTGAAGCATCCTCACCCCACCTCCCTGGGAGGAGGCAGCCCTGATTGAACAGTTTGTTCTCCTCTCATGGGCTTGGTGGTGGCCTGTGCTTAGTAGGATAACAAGAGGTTGATGGATCCTGCTCTTGAGTTGGGAATGATGAGGCAGCTCTCCCTCTTACAGCGCTATTGCAGCAGATTCGTGAGTTCCCGAACCAGGCTTGGCAGACAGCACACAGCAGGCAAGAGGAAGCTGTGCTGGAGAGGCTCAGCCCTGAGCCTGAGGACACCTCACTGTTGGGCAGCCTCAGTCAGTCACGGGAAGAGGGGCAGAGTCCACCCAAGCCTGATTCAACAGCAACTCATCCTCTGACCCTCCTGCGACAGCAGGCTCCGAGCTGAGCCATCCCCAGCTGCAGGAGCAGCGCTCCTGGAGTAACCCCTTGCACTCTGAGGTGCTGGTGCCATGGAAAGCCAAGAGTCAGGAGTGGGTGGAGTGTGCTGCCACTGTTGTCATCCAGCAGCACCATGCTGATGAGATGTGACCATCACCTCCTGCTTGCTGCCTACCAGGGTGAGGCAGGGCACCCTGTCAGGGAGAGACAAGCAGAACTGTGTCAACAGAGAATCTGTCAAAGCAAATGCTTTTAAATAATCTCCTGATTGCTGGCAGCTCAGGGTTTACCAGAGGAATCATTTTACAGGTTATCTATTCCTACACCCTGCTCTGTATATCTGTAACAGGAGCCTGCCTGAGATGGGGTGGAAAGCTCTGGGAGCTTTGTTGCCTTCCTCCTGGGCTGGGGAAGGGCTGTGGTATGGAGAGTGAAGGCAGCTGGGCCTGAGATGCCAATACCTGATCTGACTGGAGGCAGGTGGTGCAGAATGCTGCTGTTCATCTCCATCTGGGCGGGAAAGAAGCAGAACAGGCTCAGTCCTGCCCTTCTTACTGTGTCTGGTAGCCACAAGCACTTCTTCCTTGTCTTTCCCCAGTAACTCTGCAGTGCTGTCTGGTGTTTGGGTGTGAGATGGCAAGCTGGATAGTGACCTTCAGTGACAGGCAGTGGTCCTGCCCTTGCGACAGCCCCTATGCTTCCCCTGTTTCTGGTAGCTGTTGAGCCATGGGCTTGCTGCTGGCCTGGCTAGAGAAGGTGTTGGGGATTCCCAAGCTGTGTGAGCCGGTTCCCTTCACAGGGGCTGAGCCTTTCTTATTTCACAGCCCAAAGCCGGACTTCTGCCCCTTGGGGAGAAGGAGCAAGGCTACTAAGGGGGAGCAGACCCAAGAGCTGTGAAGCCTCTTGCTCTTCTGAAGACTTTCCTGTCTGCAGGCTGGATCTGGAGCTGTGCCAAGCTTTGCAGTGAGGCAGTCAGCTGGCTCTAGCTGCTCTGTGGGGTGCAGCAGCTGCTCTGTGAGCTGGAGCTTGGTGTCCTTCCTGCAGTACAGCCCGGTGGTACCTGCTGAGCACCTCTCCTTGCCCTACTTCAGATCTAAGCTGGTGAGGATGTTTCATTGTTAATGAAGTGGAAATAAAATATGCTGTGTAACTGTGCCCTCCATGGTCTTTTCAGTCTGGGATTGGGCTGACCAGGTGAGGCTGGGCAAGGGGCTGGGAGTATCACAGAAGTACCCCCAAGTGCAGGAGTCCCACTTCCAGTCTAGCAGAGGCTGGGGATGTGTGAACACCCTGGAAACAGTTTGGGACAAACAGGTGGTGCCAGTACACATTAATGACACCCGTGTACGGGGAGTGGCGGCAGCAGGCCCATAGCACCATGCCATGCACAGCGGCACTTAGCACAGCAGAACTAAGTAACTTCCCTTGGAGGAAGTGCAAGGAGCTGTTGTCTGCTCCCACTTCTGCTTTTGTAACAAGAAACTGCACAATTGCAGGAAGTGAAGCAAAGCTGGAGTGGTGTAATAGCCCCCATCCCCTCAGCCAGGGGGCCCAGGGCTGACCCTGCCAATGGGAAGGCAATGGTTGCTAAATGAAGGCTGTGTGCTGAGCTCAGTTGGGATCATTGGATCCATGGAGGCACCAGCAGCTCCTGAGCTCAGGCTGTAGAGCCCAGCATGAGGTTTGGGGTGCAGGAACCCAGAGAGGCAGGCAGCACCATGCTTATGGCAGAAAAGCACAGGAAAAGGTGCTTGTGTAGATGGACAGGAAGTAAAATTGTTTGCTGCGTCTCTGTTTGCAGAGGAGAAAAAGTGGAAGAGTGCAGCTCATGCATGGACTGTGCCTTGGGACAGGTGACAGCATGTTTCTGCCTCTAGGATGAGGTGACCCTGGGAAGGCAGCCACTGCTCCTTCCCCAGGGACCTTCTGTGGTGCCAGCTTGGTCTAGGAGCTCCGGCCTTGCTTTTGGTTTTGTATCTTTATTGATGATCTGGATGAGGGGATTGAGTGCACCCTCAGTAAGCATGCAGATGACACCAAGTTGGGGGGGAAGTGTCTATCTGTCGCAGGATAAGTAGGCTCTGCAGGAGGATCTGGATAGGCAGGACCAATGGGCTGAGGCCAACTGTATGAAGTTCACCAAGGCCAAGTGCCGGGTCCTGCACCTGGGGCACAACAACCCCAAGCAGTGCTACAGGCTGGGAGATGAGTGGTTGGAAAGCTGCCTGGTGGAGAAGGACCTGGGAGTACTGGTGGATAGTCGTCTGAATATGAGCCAGCAGTGTGCTCAGGTGGCCAAGAAGGCCAGCAGCATCCTGGCTTGGATAAGAAGTAGTGTGACCAGCAGGTCTAGGGAAGTGATTGTCCCCCTGTACTCGGCTCTGGTGAGGCCGCACCTCGAGTACTGTGTTCAGTTTTGGGCCCCTCGCTACAAGAAGGACATCGAGGTGCTCAAGCAAGTCCAGAGAAGGGCGACGAAGCTGGTGAGGGGTCTGGAGAACAAGTCTTATGTGGAGCAGCTGATGGAGTTGGGATTGTTCAGCCTGGAGAAGAGGAGGCTCAGGGGCGACCTTATTGCTCTCTATAGGTACCTGAAAGAAGGCTGTAGCGAGGGGGGGATTGGTCTATTCTCCCACATGCCCAGTGATAGGATGAGGGGGGGAGGTCTAAGGTTGCTCCAGGGGAGGTTTAGGTTGGATGTTAGGAAGAACTTCTTTACCGAAAGGGTTGTTAGGCATTAGAATGGGCTGCCCAGGGAAGTGGTGGAGTCACCATCCCTGGAGGTCTTTAAAAGACGTTTAGACGTAGAGCTTAGTGATATGGTTTAGTGGAGGACTTGTTAGTGTTAGGTCAGAGGTTGGACTAGGTGATCTTGGAGGTCTCTTCCAACCTAGATGATTCTGTGATTCTGTGAAGATGTAAATGGAAAATGTTACCTACAGGTTTAGCACAAATAAATGGTGGGAAAATCGTGATGACATGCGGTGGGACCTGGGGACATGTCACCAAACAAGGGGGACCAACGTGAGCAGAGCTCCCTGCCTGTGGCAGAGGCTATGGGGAGCTGCCCCACATCTTGGGGTGGGGATACCACATCCCCAATGTCTCCTGGCAGCAAGAGGGATGCTCTCTGCCCATAACCTGTCTTTGGAGCCCAGAATCAGCCCAGAGAGGAGGGTGGGTGCCTTCAGGCAGGGAGCAGGAGGGATCTGTGTCCCAGCACCCTGCAACCTTCCCCCTGCTTGGGTTACCACAGGGTCCCTCCTTCCTTTATGCAACCATGGCGTGTCACCTTGTGGCACCTGGCCTCACTCTTCCCCATCTCCCTGGCACAGGATTTTGGCCTGAATGTCACTGCTTTCCACACCATGGTGGGACTTGACTGCCCAGCGGCCTTCCTCCAGATGGCTTTCCACTGCTGCAGTGTGAGCCCCTGCCGCGGGGATGTCCAAATCCTGGTGTCCCATCGGGGGTTGCCTTTCCCTGCCTACTGGAGCTGCTTCCAGGTGGTGCACCCCAAGGGCTGTGGGGTGTACTGCAGCCCTCAATGGGGACCCATCCTGCCTGCAGATGGAGCCGACCTCCCGCCCCTCGTTCCTGGAAATCACACAGTGCCTGGAGGGCATCCTGCAGCACCAGCTAGGCACCGAGGGTTTGGGGGCCCCCCTCTTCAGCACCAGGGACAGCCTGACTGTGCCCAGCACAGCACCCATGCTCAACGGTATGTGGGTGTCCTGGGGGCGGGGGGATGCCCCTTTACCACCCCACCAGCTATTGGGGAGCAGGCTGGGGTAGGTTTGTAGGAAGCAGCCCCACTTCTCACTGCCTGGGCTGCTTCCTGTTTTGCCCCATGGTGCCTGGGCACACCCAGGGCGCCAGTGAGACAGACAGACAGACAGACACACACACACACACACACACACACACACTCCTGTGCCCTTGCTCAGGAGTAGCCAGGAGGCCAGCCAGCCATGCCAAGCAGTTGCTCCTGCATGAGTTGGGGAAACAGCACCTGCAACTGGACCAGCACCTGTCCTGCAGCCAGTCCGACATATTCCCCTCCAAATTGCCCACCTTGCTACAGCTGCCTGAGCCCTGTGGCAGGGCCAGAACAAAGGAGACACTACTGCGCATCAACCCCTTCTCCCAGCGTGAGGACCTGAAGGGGGGGAAGATCAAGCTTTTTGATATGCCCAGCAAGTCTGTCATCTCGTTCACTTTTGACCTGCCCCCTCCGGCCTCGCTGCAGCTCTGCTCCCCCATGACGCCTGAGCCAGCCATAGAAGTGCAGTGTGACTTCTTGGTGCCTGCTGCAGCCCCCCACAAGTGCCACTCACTGCCCACCTCCCCTGAGCTGCCCTGCCATGGGGGCCTGGCACTGGGTGTGGAGTCGCCTGCCCAGCCCCCCAGCTCGAAGTGGAGCCGGGAGGATGCTGGGGAGCTGGGAAGTGGGATTCACGCCTCCCCCCCTGGTCCCACAGCAGGGGAACAGATGGACTGCAGCCCCCACAGCCCCAAGCTGCTGTAGGTCTGTGATCTGGCACATGCTGCCAGCAAATTCATCCATGTGACAGCCTCAGGTGCCCAGCCCTGATAAATGGAGCCATGGGCACCCAATGGGCTGCTCATCAACAACAACCATGTGGTGGTCAGCAAGCCACTGGCTGGGGGCAGCAGGTTGGAAAGTGGCTTCTCCCAGCTCAGCATCCCCTGTGCGGCAGCAGCGCTGGAGCAGATGGAACACGTGGCCTTGCTGCCTGGGCATAGCACTGGCACTGTTGGAGCTGGATGAGGTGCTGTACTGCCCTGGCTGCTGCTTGGGGCCTTTCACTTTCACCTCCGTTTTCCACCAGCCTGCGCCCAGCCCTCCCCACTACCAGAACCTCAACTGCTAAGCCAAGAGCCTCCTCTGCTGCGACCACAGCCGCCTCCAGAAAGCCCAGGGGCTGATGCTGGCGGAGCCCAGCCTGAAGCTGCCAGGAGTGCAGTTCTAGTGCTAGAGACCACAGCTGCAGCCAGGTGCTCCTGGGAGCTCCCCTTGTGTGTGGGGTGGCTTTGTAAGCCTGGGGTTTTGTGTCCTGTTCCCCCCTCCAATGAGTCTGTCCTTGCTCACCTGGTGGCCATGATGGCAATGCTGAGGTGCCTGTTCCAATGGGATTGGCCTTGGGGGGGGCTGCAGGCAGCACCCAAGCAGGCTGGCTTTTTGCAGAGGTCCCAGTGGGGCTGGGCTGTAGTGCAATAACACTGCTGCCCCAGGCGGCAGGGCCCATCCTCTATCCCCAAGAGCTCACCCCTCAGTGGGCTCTTGCAGCCCCCTGGGATGGGGGGGGATGTCCCACTGCCTCCCCACAAGTGTGGGGAACATTCCTAGTCCCCCACAGGGGCATGCAGAGTGGTGATGTTAGGGGGGTGCAGCACAGCAGGAGGGTGCCACTGCTTGGGTTTCCCTGGGTGTTGAGCCCTCTGGCATGCGGGACACCCTCCTGCCCCAACACCACACCAGGGTTGCGGGGACACATCTGCGTTGCCCCCCACCAGCAGTGAGTACCCTGTGCCCCCCCCCCCCCAGTGCCTCCTGGGTAGCCAGGGGGACAAGGGGAGATATGCCTAGCAAGGATGGGAGCCAGCTTTCTTCCCTCCTGCACAATGCACTGGTGAATGTAAAACTCTTGCATTTTTTATTAATGTTAATAATAATTGCTAGTAATATATACCCAGCTTATTTAAAGCGTTCAATAAAAAAGTAATGTCCCAGCAAGCCAGGCTGCCACATGTGTCTCTTGAATGTACTGAGAAGGGTGGGGAGTCCAGACCCCAAGGGTGACATGGACTTGGTCTGGCTGTGTCCCCTGGGGACCGTGAGTCAGCTCTGGCTCAGTGCCTCTGAAGTGGCAACCTCAATTGAGGCAGCTTTAGTGAAATTCCAGTTTCTGGTTTGGGATCGTTGGCTTTGTGTCCTGAAGTCTGTGTCGGGGTGGTAAAGGCAGAAGCAAACAGCAGACAAGCTGTCTCTATTTGCTACAAAGTAGGTTCAGCCAGTGGACAAGACAGAGGAGTGGTGGACCTCCAAAACACCTGCCTTTAACAGCCCTGTGCTATTCAAGCAAAGTGGTTTACATACTAATTAATCAGTATTGAGACAGAGAACAAGATAAAGGACGTTGATTCCTGTAGGTCTTAGCTAGCACAATTGTATGTTAACGACCCCAAAGATAAGGGAGTAAAAGACTATGCATAGATAATGGAACCAGCAAGAACTGAACCAAGTGTATATGGGAGTTTGGGCTACAGGAGTACCTGGGAGAGTACCTGAAAAAAAAATTGGTTTAAAGGAAAATGCTCTCAAGGTATGACAAAAGGAATATTCACTAAAGGTAGAACACAGAAGGGGAATGGAAGGAATAATTAATAACTTTCTTAAATATGGGCTATTAGTAGAATGTGAGTCAGAATATAGTACTCCATATAGGCCCAGTTAGAAAGGTAGATGGAACCCATCGTATAGTCCAGGACTTAAGAGCCATCAATAGGATCACAAAAGATTTATACCCTGTAGTAGCCAACCCCTATAACCTTTTGACAAAATTAGAAAACAGTCAAGTTTGGTTCACGGTACTAGATTGAAAGGATGCCTTTTTCTGCCTGCCCATGGTGACTGAAAGCCAGAAACTCTTTGCCTTTGAATGGGAAAATCCTAATAGAGGATGAAAAACTCAGCTTACTTGGACAGTGTTACCACAGGGGTTCAAGAATAGCCCCACCATATTCGGGAACCAACTAGCCTATAATCTTGAAGCTTGGAAAACCCCTTCAGGAAAAAGGGACACTGCTGCAATACGTAGATCACCTGTTGATAGCTACTGAAGAAGAAAAGGAACGTGTATAATGGACTATTAGTTTACTAAATTTTTTTGGCACTAATACTGTGAACCCAGCCTCTTTCCTTAAGTAACAGTTTCCAGATCACCCATTTGTGATTGCATCAAGACCATGGAAACGGTCTCCAGCCATCCAGACTTAAAGGATATACCCCTAGAAGATGAGGAGGATTGGTATATATATGGCAGCAGCTTCATCTGCCAGGGAGTTCACTTAAGGCAGAAATAATAGCCTTTATAAGAGCTCTTGAGCTGGCAAAAGGGAAAAGAATTAACATTTGGACAGATTCGAAATATGCCTTTGGTGTGGTGCATGCACACGGGGCAGTTTGGAAGGGGAGAGGACTCTTATCATCCTCGATTAAACATGCAGAAGAGATACTGAAGTTACTCCAAGCGGTATACCTGCCTATTAAAGTTGCCATTATGCACTGTAAAGGACATCAAACAGGATACTGATATTGGAAGAGGAAATCGATTGGCTGACGCAAATGCCAAAGGGGTGGCAGAACAGGCATCTGAGAGTCAAATTTTGGCACTACTACTAGGAAGAGAAAACCAGGCATTAACAAAAGCCTTAGAAAATTAAGTAGAATATTCTAAGATCGATTAGAATTAGCAATTAATTGAAGATGTAAATGGAAAATGTTACCTACAGGTTTAGCACAAATAAATGGTGGGAAAATCGTGATACCATATTATATTGGATGGTAATTGAAGAACATAATAAAGCATGCTGGGGAGCTGAAGTAGTATAAGAGTTTTTAAGTAGAAAATGGATAGGGCCTAATTTGTATACTATTGTCAGACAGGTATCAAAACAGTGCCAGTCATATATCTTAAAAATAACCCACAGACAGGAATCAAACCCCAAATGGGAACAATAGGGAAGGGAAATGTTCCTGGGAAACAGTGGCAAATTGATCTTTTTCAAACTCCTAGGAAAAGAGGGGTTTAGATGCTTATTGGTACTAACAGACACCTTTTCCAGATGGCCGGGAGCATTCCCATGTAGAACTAACAAAGCCAGAGAATGAAATTATAGTGAGATTTGGTGTACCCTCAGTGATGTCATCTGACAGGGGACCACAGTTCACTGCAGAACTGACCCAACAAGTCAGCAAAGTGCTAGGGATTGACTGGCAACTACACACTCTGTATAGACCAGGGGCGAGTGGCCAAGTGGAAAAAATTAATCATTTGATAAAACAACAGATTGCTAAAATCTGTCAAGAAACCAATATGTATTGGTATCAGGCGCTACCCATGGCACTTAGAATTAGAACTAGGCCTAGGAGCAAGGAAAAACTAAGCCCCTTTGGGATATTGTATGGCAGGCCTTACCAAATGCCATACAAAGGAGAAGATCTAACGCAAGTAGGAAACCAATATTTATGACAACATATTATAGTTTTGGGCAAGCAACTAGAACAAATCAGTAAGAACATTTTAGGCACTAGACCTTTTATTAGCCTCCCAAGGGGGAGTATGCACTTTAATAAATATTTGTAGCTGTATGTATGTAAATGAGGCAGGACGAATTGAGACTGATCTCAAAAAATATTTGGAAAAGACCAAGATCTTACATAAGGTAGTTCAAGATGACACCTTGTGAGGTTTTTGAGAATTATGGAACGAACTGACCTCTTGGTTACCCAAATTTTCTTGGCTTAAGCAATTGTTTATAGGAATATTGATCTTGCTTATACTAGTATTCTTACCCTGTGTATTAGTACAGTGTGCATTTTGGTGCTGTATAAAAGGACTAGATGATTATGAAACCTGGAAGTGTAACCGAATCAAGCACCAAGTAGAAACCGGTAAGAATTTTATGAAAACTTTGAATCAAGAAGGAGTGCTATAAGCAAAAGAATTTGCCTTAGGATAAAGAAAAGGGGGGACTTGAGACAGGGAACAAGAAAAAGGATGTTGATTCCTAGGTCTTAGCTAGCACAATTGTATGTTAATGACCCCAAAGATAAGGGAGACTGTATGCATAGATAAGGGAACCAGCAAGAACTGGCTTGACTGCTGAAGTCTGTCAAAGACAGGAAGGGCCAGAAGATTAGCAGCGAGCTGATGGGACTCCACAGTTGTGGTGGTTTTGCTCAGGTGGGTGCCCAGACTCCTTAATCGTGGTGGTTTTACTCAGGTGGGCGGCTGAGCTCCACCACAACCACTCTTTCACTCCCCCTCCTCAAAGAGGAAAGGGGAGAAAATATGATGAAAAGGGCTCAAGGGTTGAGATAAGGATGAGGAGATCGCTCAGTAATTATAGTCATGGGCAAAACAGACTTAGGGAGATAGTAAGATTTATTGCCTATTAACTAACAAGATAGAGAGGTGAGAAACAAAGGAAATAAAAAACAAAAATGCCTTCCCCTCATCCACCCTCTTCCACCTCCTCCCCCTGAGTGGTGCAGGGGAACGGGGAAATGGGGGTTATGGTCAGTCTACAGCGCTTCTTCTCTGCTGCTCCTTCTCGGTCACTCTCATCCCCTGTGCTGTGGGGTCCCTCCCACGGGATGCAGTCCTTCCTGAATTGATCCTGTGTGGGCTTCCCACAGGCAGCAGCTCTTCCAGAACTGCTCCAGATATGGGTCTGTACCACGGGGTCCATCCCTCTTGAGCAAGCTGCTGTTGCCGACAGAAGGAAGACCCAGACGCTCAATATGAGTGAACAGTAAACTTCAACTTTAATGGATAGCTCAGTCACCTTTTATTTAGTTCGAACATAATCAACTCATACATATTGCAGAAACTAAGCTCAGGATTGGTTAACACTTCCCGGGCTTTTCAGTCTGGTCCTCCTTCTTTTGGCTACCTGTCCCACCTTAGGGACTTTCCCGATCGCCCAAGGGCATTGTGTCCTTGAGCCTGATTGGCTGCTCTCAGCCAGCTGCATATGTGCCAAGGCTCATGTAAGTTGAGTACGGTGCTTCACCAGCCCATTGTCTCCCAACTGCTCAACATTCACATGTCCTGCCTCACTTAATGATTCCTCCACAATTCCCCCGTTTTTATTTTGCAGCAACTATAATCAATATAACTATAAGTAGAAAACGAAGTTCCTCTTTGACGAAGAAAAAACCATCCGCCCATGTTCCCAAAAACAGATTTTAACCAACCTTCAAACCAACTATCTTGTACTACAATTTTTTGCGTATGATCCCTTAACCATTTCAAACATAATCAACTCATCAACGAAAGGATCAGACGCAGAAGCGAGGAATAGGCAAAATGAACTTTGTCCGGTTTGATTTGCCCAAGTGACCCACATATTGGTTTGAGGATCGATTTTGCTTAGGATGGCACTATTACGTCCAACCGTCATTGTCAAAGATAATGCAACCAAAATCCCTTGTGCCGTTAGATCAGCCATGGTTGCTGTTATTCGTACTTGATGACTTTTCTTCAATGGCTGGTTTAACACATCGACTAGGAACCCAGGTTGGCCCTGTAGGGGAAGAGATACACACATAACCTCGCCCCATATAAATCACATCAGCAGGCCCCAGCCATTGTCCCGTTTTCGTATCTCGGTACAGTACTCTCATAATACATTTATTATCATTTTCAGACTTAATGCAATGACGTGTCGCGGGTGGTTCCTCATCATCTCCAAATACACACAAATGATTGAGAACAAATAAGGTTTTATCCACCCTCTCTCTAATATCTGTAATGTCTTTAAACTTTTCCAAATACTGCTTAACTGTTCCATTAGCTCTTTCTACTATAGCTTGACCAGTTGGTGAATGTGGAATACCAGTTATATGCTTAATGTCCCACAGTTCCATAAATCGCTTAAGTGGCCCACTAACATAGGCTGGACCATTATCTGTCTTTATGGTTTGTGGTACTCCCATTACTGCAAAAC